TCATCTTGGAGTCAATAATGACTCCAAGATCCCTTTCTGCCTCTGTGCTTTCAAGAGGGGAACTCCCCAGCCTGTATGTATGCTGTGGATTCCTTCTCCCAAGGTGCAGCACCCTGCATTTGTCTACGTTGAACCCCATCCTATTCTCATCTGCCCACTTTTCTGGTCTGTCTAAACCTAGTTGCAGCCTCTCTCTCCCTTCAAGTGTATCCACCTCACCCCACATCTTAGTGTCATCAGCAAACTTGGACAGCGTGCTTTCCACCCCCTCATCCAAGTCGCTGATGAAGATGTTAAACAGTGCGGACCCAAGGACTGAGCCCTGGGGGACCCCACTGCTCACATCTCACCAGGTTGAGTACAACCCATCCACCACTACTCTCTGGGTGCACCCCATCAGCCAATGTTTTTACCCATCCAACTGTGTAGGCATCAATGTCACAGTCACTTAATTTATTGATGAGGATGGGGTGAGAGACAGTATCAAAGGGCTTCTTAAAGTCTAAAAAGACTACATCCACGGTGACACCATCATCCAAGGATTTAGTTAATTGGTCATAAAAGGCAATCAGGTTGGTCAGGCAGGACCTGCCTTTGATGAACCCATGCTGATTGCCCCTGAGCATGATCTCCCCTGCTGGCCCCCCACAGATGTGCTCCTTGATGATTCTCTCCAAGATCTTCCCGAGGAGCAAGGTGAAGCTTGCAGGCCTACAGTTACTTGGGTCCTCCTTCCTCCCTTTCTTGAAAATTGGGACCACATTAACCAGTTTCCAATCCCCCAGCACCTGGCCAGATGACCATGAATGCTCATACAGCCAGGCAAAGGGCTCCATGATTATGCAAAATAATTATTATATAATAATTATTGCATAATTCTATTATGCAAAATGTTCTCTCTCTGATCTGCAGTAAGAAATCAGCCCCAATAAAATTATTAACCCTAATAAATAAGATAAAATGAAAAAAAAATCTAAGAATACAGAGAAGCAAAAGAAAAATGTTTCCTAAGAACTATGTCCAGTGAAAGTCTGGAGTATTTGAATTGAAAGGAACATTTTCATACTGGAACTATTATGTAAAACTCATAAGCCATCCTAAAATT